CCCTTGATGAACATGACGCTTGGTATTCTTGTGGCCATGATGCCAATATTTATGGAGATGAATTTGTTATAGTCCCTTATGTTAAACATGATATTGTTGCTATTGCACTCATACTTGATAGTTCCTTCGATAAAAAGCATGATTGCAATGATGTTATTATAAATTCCATTAATGTCAATTGTGCTAATAATATGCAAAACCCTAAGCTTGGGGATGCTAGTTTTGCTATGTCCACTACTTGTTGCAATGATCATGATTGGGGTGATTCTTCCTATGATCTTGAAAATTTATTTAAGCCCCATGATGAATATGAGATTGATAATAATGTTTGCAATAATATTAAAAGTGGGTTTGGAAGAGTGTCAACTTTAGATCCCACATATTTGGAGAATGTTCAATCTTATGAATTTTTTGATAAAAGTGGGTTTGGAGAGGTCATGACTTTAGCTAATGTTGATCCCACTATTTTGGAAGAGTGACGACTTTGCATGCATGTGGATCGTGTTGGGAATATGTTTTGTGATAGCTATATTGTTGAATTTGCTTATGATCCTACATGTAATTATTATGAGAAAGGAAAATATGCTCTTAGAAATTTTCATGTTACTAAATTACCTCTCTTCATGTTGAGATTGCTACCATTTACGCATTAAATCTATTCATTTTGTATCAGTGATGTGGATGAGTATTTCCCGCCTAATTTACCTACCATCAACATGGAGCTTGGAACATGTAGCGCTCAAATGCTATTTTTTGGCCGATGGACGTTCGGGAGATCTTGAAACGTACATCCCCGCTTAATCGGCATGACTTTTTTTCGTTTTGTTCCTAGAGAAGAGTGTTGCTTCATGGTAAAGAGCGTGTACCACCTAACAACAAGTACGACGACACAATTTGCTGGCGATATGTCCAAGAGTAACCCTAAAGAAGACCGACTTATATGACTTTGTATTTGGAACTCATCGGTTCCATAGATGATGAAGATCACAGCATGAAAAGCATCAATGGTAGCCTTGGCTACTAATCAGTGCAATATTTACAAGCATTTGGCGAAGCCAGATAGACATGTGTCCACTATGTGGAGTTGAAGTAGAAGGAAGCTTTCATGCCTTGGTAAACAGAGGGCATGATTTTATGGGAACTCATGAGAGTAGTGTGGTTGCTTCCTGCCAATAATTTGCTGATTGATATGAGTAAGGAATGGTCACTAAATGTTCTAGCAGTGTGAAGAGAATGTCCATAATTTGGCAATTATGCTTATCTAGCGCATCTGGCAGCTTCACTCAGATATGGACCATGGAAAAGAAGTACCTTCCCCCTGAAACACCTGTCGAGTTCTTGCACACTAACGAAATCATTAAAGGAAGATGTCACTATATGAAACTTGTTCTATGCCAGGGATTAAGAGTTCTGTATCGGCACAACCTTGTCCGTATTGCCGGCAAACCAGGAAGCCCTCTTGGTGGATGATTCTTTTCTTGCTCGTGATGGAATGGTGGCGGTGGTCCCTTCGAAGATATGATGGGAGCATAATCTTTGCAGCTTACCATTTTTTATCGCATTGCAATGATGCTCTAGAGACGGAGATTCACGCACTGATGCAGGGCATGACCTTAACCATACATCATTCAGAAGGCCCAATCATAGCCTAATCGGACTTCTCCAAGGCATTGCTTAGCTCGCTCAGCATATGAACATCTTGCTGCTGAGATCAGATCCTTGATGAAGAAGGAAGTTTATTACACGGAAGTTGGTGCGAACTTAATAGGGCAGCTTACGGTCGCAACAAATATAACACTCTTATATGAATATTATATGGACACATAGAGGATCAGAGAACTCTTACCTCTTGACTGTAATCCTATAACTTTAGAATAAGACTCCGTTTACAAAAAAATGGTTTAAAGGAGCATTTTGAACCAAATTGAAGTTTGGGGTGGTAGTGTAAACCGCTGGACAAATTAAATTTAGGAGGTGGCAGCATCGCAACGGTGTGTACACGGAACAGCAGGCAATGCGGCCCAGTCGCCGCCACCCGCTGCGGCCATGGGCACCTGCCATCCCGCTTCTCCTTTTCCTCGCCGTCGCCGTTGCGCCGCTGCCGGCCGCCGCGGTGGGCGTGAACTGGGGCTTCGCGGCATCCCACCCGCTCCCGGCGGCGCAGGTCGTGCGTGACCTCCTCCTCCCCAACTCCGTCCCCCGCGTGCGCCTCTCCGCCGCCTCGCCCGACGCGCTGTCCGCCCTTGCCGGCACCCGCATCGCCGTTACCGTCGGGGTCCCGAACGAGCTGCTCCGCCCCCTCGCCTCCTCCAGGAAGGCAGCCGCCGCCTGGGTCCACGACAATGTCACCCGCTACGCCTCCGGCGTACTGTTCGAGTAAGAGCCGCATCCCCTTCTTCCCTTCGTCCGCAGTTTCCTTCTCTTTTAGTGTTTCGCTGATCCTTTTCTCTTCTTTCCGACATATTTTACTGATCTTATTTCATGAAATGCGAAGGGGCCAAGGTGTATTCGTAGATAGTTACTGTATGATACTACTAGTTGACTGAATAAATCAAGTCTAAATTATGCCTCAAGCTGACCAAATTATCCGTTGCTATAATTAGAAATATTATCTTTTCTAAAAAAAATTAGAAATATTATAGTCTCTATTGGCACCGGATGATGCGCTTAGTCAATTTGTATCCACTGGATTTGCCAATCATGCGTGCTGACATGCTCAAAACCAACATCCTTAATAATGTTGACGGTTGACCATCTGATCTGAAAGGTGGAAGACGCTGCTTTAGTTTAGTCCAGTGGTTGACTTCAATAGGTTGATATGTCTATATTGCAGTAGTGCACTGGAATTTTCTTCTAGGTACCTCCAGTCCTCAAGGTCTTTTTTTCATGGAACAAACAAGTATGATCTATGAAACACTCAAGAAATGTCAATTACCGACCTGCTAGTAGGTGTTTATTCTCTACAAAGTTTCAGATCCTCTGACATGTGATGGATTCCTCTTGGTGAACCAAAAATGATAAAAGGAACTTGCCTGGACCTAGTTAACAATGTGAAAAATTGGATGTATAGCACAGCTAGATCCTATCAAATTGTCCTGAATATTTGGGGATGGAATATTTTTTGAAGAGCAACAAACTTCAGCGGGTAGTTTATGCATAGATCTGTAATTTTCTGTTACAAAACTTGAGTGTCCGTCTTCCGTTGATATTTCGCTTCTGGCTGAGCATTCTTCCTTTCTTTTCTAGGTTAAGTAGCAGAGATTCTTCTGCATTAATCAAATGTGTTTGGTATGTTTGTATCAAATCTGAATTAATAGTAGCGGAATGTAGGGTAATATGGCTGTTAAATTGCAGTCTAGGTGGGGTTAAATCTGGAATTGAGGCAGGCGATCTGTTTGGCAACGATGCTTAATTTGTTCTGTTTCATGTTTGCATTGATGTTACATTTCACATTTTGTGGGTTTTCTTGATATTATAAGTTTTTATATTGACGAGTAATGTAATTTGTAGGTTTATTGCTGTTGGAGATGATCCATTTCTTCTTAATCACGGGCAGCAGTTTCAACCTTTTGTGGTTCGTGCAGCAGCAAATATTCAACGGGCATTGGATGATGCAAAGTTATCGAGCAAGATGAAAGTAGTTGTGCCGTGTAGCTCTGATGCATACCAAAACGCATCAACTCTACCTTCGAAAGCTTACTTCAGGCCAGATGTTAACAAAACCATGGTTGAGCTCCTCCCATTTCTTGCTAATCATAGCTCACCATTTATGGCTGAGCTGAATCCGATTTTGAGCTTCCAGCAGAAGAAGAATATTTCATTGGACTATTACCTTTTCCAACTAATGTCGCGCCCGATAAGTGATGGTCATAACAAGTATGACAACTACTTCGATGCGAGCATAGATGCTCTGGTTACTGCTCTAACTAAAGCTGGATTCAGTGATATGGACATCGTTGTCGGGAGAGCAGGATGGCCAACAGATGGAGCTGTGAACGCAACTTCGGCTATTGCTCAATCCTTCATGACAGGCCTGGTCAACCACCTGGCGAGAAAATCCGGGACTCCACTTCGCCCAAAATTTGCTCCAACTGAGACATACCTCTACAGCCTTTTAGACGAAGATCAGCACAGTATGGCAAGCGGAAGTTATGACAGACACTATGGCATTTTTACGTTTGATGGCCAGGCCAAGTACCATGTCAACTTGGGTCAAGGTCCTGTGGCGCTCAAGAACGCTCTGGATGTGGGCTACCTTCCATCGAAATGGTGTGTGGTGGACAACAACAAAGACCTATCCAATGTTTCTTCTAGTTTATCTGCCGCTTGCTCGAATGCCGACTGCACCGCTCTGTCCACTGGTGGCTCCTGTGCAGGTCTTGACTGGCCTGGAAATGTGTCATTTGCCTTCAACAGTTACTACCAGCAGCATGATCAGAGTGAGGAGAGCTGCAGCTTCAGTGGCCTAGGTTTGATAACCACCGTTGATCCATCCGTCGATAATTGCCTCTTTGCTCTTGCAATTCGCGCTTCTGCTGCTGCTTCCTTGCACCCAACATTTGCCGCGCTGTGGATACTAGTTTGGGTTTGCATTTACAGTTTAGACTGATGTAGCTGCCCAATGACTTCGAGGCTCGATTTGGGCCTTGAAGATGTGTCTATGTGTCTCATGTAGCATGTGGTAATTCAGAAGTCTTGGTGCACTGTCAAAACTACCTAATATCTCCGAAATTGTGCAAATTCGTACAGTACGTTGTACAGGACTCCACGATACCTTCCACGTACTATCAACTACGGATTTTGGGATCACGCCCCGATTAACTTTCTGTTGATAGAGTAACATACGAAGGATAGGAAGGGGCAACGCGTTTAATTAAGATAAATTTGATTCGTTTGGACTTCGCCTTTTCGCTTACCTGACGTTACGATTACTTGCTATGATAAGTAGTACTACGTCAGCCTCCTCACTCGGTAGCACTAGCTAGAGTGGACCTAAGATCATGGCTTCTTCGGGCTCTCTCCTCTCCACGCTCCTGGTGCTGCTCGCCGTCGCCGCCACCGCGTTGGCGGCTACGACGACGTTCGTCCGGGCCGCCAACCTCGCCGAGCGGCTGGAGGGAGTGGGGCAGCAGCAGTGCTGGGAGACGCTGCTGGACGTCAAGTCGTGCACGGGGGAGATCATCCTCTTCTTCCTCAACGGCGAGGCGTACCTGGGGCCCGGGTGCTGCCGCGCCATCCGCATCATCGAGCAGCGCTGCTGGGCCGCCGACCTCATGCTGTCCGTCATCGGCTTCACCCCGGAGGAGGGGGACATGCTCAAGGGCTACTGCGACGCGGGCGGCGACGACGACAACAACGACGGCGAGGGGCATCATCATGGCGTCGGCGGGTCATCTCCGGCCCCGCCGCCTCACCGTGCTCTTGACGGCGTCGCGAGTGGCGGCACGGCGGTGCCCGTGGCGGGAAAGAAAGGGCTTGGTGCGCCGTTAGATGGCTAACTAAGCTGAGTCAGTGTGTGTCCACGTCCACGTAGGTTCTCGTGAGTCCTGATGAAGTGATGAGATGTTTGCGAAGCTGAGAAGTGAATGATTTATCTAAGTTTTGTTTGTGAAAGCTAGTAGTCATCCTCAAACCATATTAGTTTTCCCACCTACTCCTCGTTATTTCCTTAAAAATAATGTTAAACGTACAAACAAATACAGAGTTTTACAGACTCTTTTCATTATTGACCAATCACAAACTTGCTAGTGCATTATGCATGTGCTGTTGGACGAGAGAAAACGATCTCATAAAGCGAGCCATCTACATTGCAAGGGCGTCTGATTGGACGCTTAGACAACAAAAATAATTAACTAAGGATGTTGCATCGGTGTGGGAGTTTGTTTACTCACCGGAGAAGTGACTAGGGCTAAGAGCAACTTCAATGAGGTGACCCAAACGGACGGCGATTTTATCATTTTTTGTTCATTTGGGTGGGCTGCCCGTCCGGCGTTCGTCCTGTTTTAGATATGGGTCGACAGCGCGCCCAACGCGCCGACCCCATATGTGCCGGCTGGCCGCCCTATTTTGCATTAATGAATTTGCATAGTTTGAATCAAATAACATAGTATTAACCGAATAAAAAAGCATAGTTTACAAGCCGAATAAAATAAAAATGTCTCACACAGTTCTCACATAGTTTTGCAAACGAATAAAAAAAGATACATCTATTGGTTGCCAACATGAGCCCACATATACTCAACCAAATCATTTTGCAGATGCACATGAGCTTTCCAATCACGCATGTCTTGATGAAATTGGGTGAACTGCTCAAACTTTGCCGCTCCTCCATGCTCAGGCACAATATTCTCATCCTGAAACTGAAACCCTTGATCGTACAGACGTTCAGGGCGCTCGTCTTCTACGATCATATTATGCATGATCACACAAGCAGTCATCACCTCCCATAGTTTCTGCATGATCCAGGTATTAGCAGGATACCGAACGATGCTCCATCGAGATTGCAAAATACCAAAGGCACACTCTACATCCTTCCTAGCACTCTATTGCTCTTGGGCAAATCTTTTCCTCTTCTCTCCGACAGGGTTGGGTATTGTCTTCACAATAGTGGTCCACTGAGGATAGATACCGTCACCCAGGTAGTATCCTTTGTCGTAGTTGTGGCCGTTGACAGTAAAGTTCATCGGTGGGCTATTGTCTTCGGCAAGCCTAGCAAACACAGGTGAGCGCTGAAGCACATTGATATCATTGTTTGATCTGGCCATGCTAAAGAAAGTGTGCCAGATCCAGAGATCTTGAGACGCCACGGCCTCTGGTATGACAGTACAAGCCCTGGCATGGCCCTTATACTGCCCTTGCCAAGAAGAAGGGCAGTTCTTCCACTCCCAGTGCATGCAGTCTACGCTACCAAGCATCCTTGGGAAGCCCCTGCTGGCATTCATCGCCAACAAACGGGTTGTATCTTCAGCAGTCGGCTCTCTCAAATACTCAGGGCCAAACACAGCAATAATAGCCTTGAGAACTTATACAAGGACTCTAGGCATGTAAACTCGCTTATACGGAGGTTCTTCGAGAGATGCTTATACAGAAATAAATTGATTTTTGCCTAGACGTCGATGCTTATTTATATGTGACAAATGCTTAACTAGGCACAACTTGAGATAAACACTCGGTGCTTAGGAACTTTTTTTACTAAGCACGCCCCCCCTGAGTGCATTGCATTGCTCATGATCTAAGGCGTTAAATGGATGATGCATGTATGCGAGATTTTTCCGTCGCCCAATCTAGAGAATTCTTGTGATTCGAAATGATGCCCAATTTGAAAAGCGAGACAAACGCACATAGCAACATCGTGGAACTTGACGAACTCTGAGGCACACACTGCCGACCTGGCATACAACAGATACACCACGCAAACTGCGTTGAAGGGAACATCACCGAAGTTGCACGCCATCGCGTGTCATCACTGTGTCTTGAGAAAGCGATTCCGACTTCACCACACACCACCATCGACGAAGCCCCTCACCGCAACAGTTGTAGGACGTCACGCTAAGATCAAACATGGCAACTTCAGTCCAGAAGGTGAACTACAAAGGAGAGATATGCTAGGTTGACATCGCGAAGAATCATCAAGCCATACCATCTGTCGCCAGTCATCTCACTACTCGGACCTTGTCATCATGGATCCGACTCACAACAACAAACAAACCACGACGACCCTGTGCACACCCCGAAAGGCCAACAACCACAACCCTTTTGCGACCCCGGCATCACTCATCTCCACCGTCATTACCGCACAAGTGCCAACAAGATCACCACCATCCTCCATGTGTTCCCCTAGCTAAAGCATAACTCCAGAAACAACGTCCCAAGCAGGGAAGCACATCTTCACCGCCATGCCATCTCCATATCGTTGTAATACCAAACACCAGAGGATTCCTAAGTGTGTTACTCCAATTTATCATCCAAGTTTGTCACCGCTATTCATATGATGGTTGTTATCTTCATGTCTGAGTAGTTCCCTTAGTTCTCGAGGATATGGATGACATCTAGTATATATAGAATTTAAACGCCTA